AGCCAAATGTATTATTACAGTGACCATATGTCCCATTTTAGCCAGGACAGTCCTGGATTTCAGAGGCTGGTCCCAGCCAACTGTTGGGAATTATAATGGTTATCCCAGAAATGCAGGGTGCAGTCTGGCCAGGAGTCGGAGAGGTGCAAAGCACCTTGCAGATGGGTAGACAGGCACTGTCCCACCCCTGCTGGGCAGGAAGTCACCCACCCCTGTTGACTTGTGAGAGTGGGAGGGGAGGGGGTGATGGGGGCAGGGTCCCAGATTTCTGTATGCTCAGCCTATGTATGATAAGTATGAACAGCATGTTCTCATATGGTAACAGTTGTCTGGCTTTTCCTAACTCTTTCTGTCTTCATCGGATTGGACAGCTTTTAAATCCTTATTCAAATCCTTTCTTATGTAGCATTGGATTTAAGACCGTTGCTGTTGCTTTAACAGTACATTGGAAAGTGTTTTAAATTGGATTGGCTTGGGTAGTGTTCTATAACCTCGACTCACAAAGTATTGTTTAATAAAAATTAGCATTAACTAAACTTTCAGAGGGTTTGAGTTTCTAACCACTGGGCTCTTGCTGACAACTCACAGCTCCTAGGGCCCCTCTGTCAATTTTGAATCCCATTAGTTATCACACACATTTGGAAACTGGATTGCCAAGAACTTTCTCTTAAGGATCCTTTCCACTGTTCTGCTGTGCGTTCCATAGATGATTTGTGTACTCTGGCTGTCATATGTGGACTATAAACTGCTTCAGTATGCTGTTGACTATTGTAAATGGGAGGGGGCTTTGGCATAGATAAGGAGCCACAAAAAATAAGCATTTGTAAAGCATGCAGATTCTTTGGTAAAGTTTATGTCTATATATTCTGTTAGAGGAGAGGGGAAAGAAATAAAGTGAAGAAGAAAAGAAAAGAGGATTTAGATAACAAACAGCGCTACAAAAAGCAAGCTGGAATTTTTCACGCAATACTTTTTAATTTGCATTTTAGCAGGATGTGCAAAGCCCTTCTTGTGGATTGCTACTCTGTGACTTTTTCCACCCTCTGAATCCTCATTTCCAATCGCTCATGCACAGTCCAATTCTAATGCATAGCCATATAAGGAGAGAGCACAACAATTTACTTAATAAATATCTCATACCACGATCTGTATAGCTAAAAATTGCCTGCAGAAAGGAGAGAGGGGGAAGTGAAGTTGGAACCTTTCATTCATGATCTCCTTAGTTAAGAAGTTTGAGCTTTGCTGAATGAGAAGCCTGTAACCTAGCATTTGAGTTCTGTAGAGGCATGCATCTGTCTTTATCGGGGACAGTGCATGAAAGTGTGTAAAGCAAGTTTGAGACTGGCATTTAGTATCTGCAGTAATACATAGTGTTTGTGACAATATCATATAGAATCTCAATTGATTACAACTGACATTACTCAGAACATCATACTTTTACTGGTTTATTTCATGCATTTTGTTTCTTTCATTTTGGCTTTTCTAAAGTTTTTATGTGCAGTCTTGTTTCTCTATGTACCAGGCATACCGTTCTACTTTATCAGTTAGTTCGGAATTTCCTGGCAGTCATAGATCTACCTTAAATTTTCCTGGCTGAGAATTAGGTCTGAGCAGAGAACTGACCCTTCGGGGCATCAGGAAGTAATGAGCAGCATGCCCATGTCTCTCCTTACAGTGGCCTGCTATCTTTATGAATATTGCTGCCATCCCCTCCTCATTTTCTACTATCCCAGGAGGTTCAGAGGCCCCAGCTCCAGCCTTCTGCA